AACTGTACAGGGGAATAGGGTATATGGAAAGTGTACTTCTCTGCTCAATTTTTCTGGGAACCTAAAACTCCTCTTTAAAAATTAAGTAAATAAAAAACAGGCAAGCCAACAACTAGGAGAAGGTATTTGCAGCACATACAACTGACAAAGGATTAGTAGACAGAATATGTAAAATATTCTACAAATCAATAAAAAGGACAAACACCACCACAGAAAAATATTTAAACAATAAAGGCATGACAAGACATTTCAAAGAAGAGGAAACACAAATGGTCAATAAATATATGAAAAAAGGTTCAATCTCATTAACAATCATCATCAAAATACACATTAAAATGCAATAAATTGGCCAGGCGCGGTGGCTCACACCTGTAATACTAGCACTTTGGGAGGCAGAGGTGGGCGGGTCACAAGGCAGGAGATCAAGACCAACCTGGCCAGCATGGTAAAACCCCTTCTCTACTAAAAATATTTAAAAAGCCAGTCATGGTGGCATGTGCCTGTAGTCCCAGCTACTCGGGATGCTGAGGCAGAAGAATTGCGAAGATCACACCACTGCACTACAGCCTGGGTGACAGAGCAAGACTCTATCTCAAAAAACAAACAAACAAACAAACAAACAACAACAAAAATTAATTATTGTTAGTAAATTGGCAAACTTAAGAAGTCACACAATATCAAGTACTAAAAAAGACGTGGAATGACTGAACTGTGTGCACACTGCTGTTGACAAGGTACATTGGCACCAGTGTTTTGGAAAACAGTTTGTCATTATCTGGTAAAGTTAAGCATTCACATATCCTGTTACCCAGCAGTTTCCCTCCTGGGAAGACACCTTAGAAATGCCTATACAGACGCACTAAGAAACATGCACAAGAATGCTCATAGCTGCATCATTTTAAATAGCAAATATGGCCGGGCACAGTGGCTCACCTAGCACTTTGGGAGGCCGAGGCTGATGGCCAACATGGAGAAACCCCGTTTCCACGAAAAATACAAAAGTTAGTTGCACGTGGTGGTGCACACCTGTAATCCCAGCTACTTGGGAGGCTGAGGCACAAGAATAACTTGAGCCCGGGAGGCAAAGGCTGCAGTGAACTGAGATCGCACCACTATACTCCAGCCTGGGAGACAAAGCAAGACTCTTGTCAAAAAAAAAAAAAAAAAAAAGATAAAGAAAAGGAAGAAGAAGAATTGTGTGAAACATAAACATCACAAATGCAATTACAGTTGTCTACGTGCTCATACAAAAAAAAAAAAAAAAAAATCAGGGCTGGGCATGGTGGCTCACATCTGCAATCCCAGCACTTTGGGAGGCCAAGGTGAGCAGATCACTTCAGGTCAGGAGCTCGAGACCAGCCTAGCCAAAATAGTGAAACCCCGCCTCTACTAAAAAAACAAAAATTAGCTGGGCATGGTGGCAGACGCTTGTAATCCTAGCTACTTGGGAGGCTGAGACAGGAGAATTGCTTGAACCTGGGACAGAGGTTGCAGTAAGCTGAGATCTCACCACTGCAGTCCAGCCTGAGTGATAGAACGAGACTCCATCTCAAAAAAAAAAAAAAAAAAAAAAAAAAAAAAAAAAAAAAAAAAAAAAAAAAAAAAAAAAAAAAAAAAAAAAAAAAAGTAAAAAATAAATAAACAGCAAATACACAAGAAAAAACAAAATGTCCATTAATTATAAAACTGATTTTAAAATGTGGTGTTTCTGTATAATAAAACACGGCAGTCAAATTAATTGATAACCAGTGTTCCTAGAACAGAGGATCATCATCTGATTCATAGTATTTAAATACTCAGGGCACAGGTAATGATCAATCAGAAGAGGCCAGATCTATCCCAGTGAAAGCCAGCCAAATGTTATACCAGTGTACACTGGCTTAGTACTAAGCATAAAAAACAAGTTGCAGAAGACCGCATAACAGTATGATTCCATGTATACAAAAATCAAAAACATGCAAAATCAGCCAATACATAGTTTAGAAGATTTAGAAACAGATCATCAGTGGAATAATAGATATAGAACTCAACAGAGTAGTTATCTCAGGGGACAATGGACAGGACAAGATGCAGTGGGAAGGGACACGCGGGGGACTGCTTTTGTAAAATCTTGTGTTAGGTACACACACAAGTGGCCATGGCACTGCAGTATCATTCTTTATACCTTACACATATCTCTTTAATATTCTTTCACATATACTCAACACTTAATAATGAGAATTATTTCTTGAAAAGGATGTATGAATTACAGAATAAAATCTGAATCCTGATTTCAGCTTTTATTCCCAGAATGACTTTGGGTACCTTGCTATATAAATCTCTTTGGATCTCAATTTCCTTCTCTGTAAAATGGAGGCGATGACCACCTCAACATTGTTGAAAGAGGCGAGCATACACTGCTATAACACACTCAGGAAAGGCAGGGTTTGCACTCCGAACATCTCTATTCTCACCTCCAACGTTGAACTGCTGCTCTATTTGTCATAGCCTGAAGAAGCTTTCAATAGAAGTATCTATTGCTCTGATTAATTCTTGTGCTCAGAGACATGCGCCCCCCCACCCACAATTCCTGCTCATTTCACATTCCTTTGACATAACCAAAAGTAATTTCAAATCTTTGTTCTCCTTTCTTTTATTAGAAATCAAAGCACCAATGAAAATGCAGAACAAAGAAACTGGTACTTCCCATGTAGATCTCGGGAAGAATGGAGCCCTGGGAAAGAATGGGGAAAAGTATGTAAAACTCTCCTTCAGGGCCCCAATTCATCCCAAATGTAGATATTATATACAAGTGTATGCCTATCTTCATTGAGCCACTGATTCTAGATTGGCTGCTTGTGATTATATTTTAGATGTTTTAATGTTAACTGTAATGATCATTACAAGTTCTTCTAGTCTGAGTCTTCCATTTGCATTTAAAAGTTGAATGCAGGCTGGACACCATGGCTCACTCCTGTAATCCCAACACTTTGGGAGACCAAGGAGGGTGGATCACAAGATCAGGAGTTTGAGAACAGCCTGGTCAATAAGGTGAAACCCATCTCTACTAAAAATACAAAAATTGCCGGGCGCGGTGGCTCACGCCTGTAATCCCAGCACTTTGGGAGGCCGAGGCGGGTGGATCACGAGGTCAAGAGATCGAGACCATC